CTTTTTCCCAACGGACAAGCGACTTAGGTTCAGTTTTATCCAAAACCACGAAGGTTAATGAGTGACTCCAATAAGAGGCAATCTGAACGCCAACGTCTCCAGCGTCATACCGGAAGACGTTTAGTTAGAGCACAATCCGTTTTAAGAATTTGTGATTTTCCAAACGTACTTTTAACCAACCTGGTGCTGCCAGAAAAAACTATCCTGAGGAGTTCAGTCAGCAACTACAGCTGGAAATTTCATCAGCGTCTTCCTCAGTGGTTCATCCCAACGGTGCACAGTGTGTCTTTGATTTTTTTTTTCGTTAAAAATGAGTAGCTCCTGTCAGGAGAATAATTTTTTAATGATTCTATATGGAAAATAAAGTTGATCAGATTCTTAAAATAGTCAAACTATGAAGACAACTATAATTTTTTCATTTCCAGGCTAGAAAATTCGAAAGAAATAGAGTTTTCCCAAAACTCTGGGTTCAGCGATTTAATTGATGATAAAATTAATGAAATAGTAGGTCCTGTAATAAGTTTTCAGCTATGTGTCATTTGGTGAAAATAATATTAATAAAACGTTACGATTATAAGTCTATACTCATAGACATAACCTTAATAAATACACAATCATGCTGTTTTTGTTGTTGTAGTCTCATAGCATACTAAAATACCGACTAGACAATATTACTAAAAATTAAAACTCAAGTCTAAATGAACATTAACTACAATTAATAAAAGATAACAGTTGAAAGCTAACATAACCTCGAAAAATATCAAAGTATTTAATTTTTTTGGTTTCTGCGCCAAGCAGCATATAAAAACGTAAACAAAAAACGTAATTTGTAATGTGAACTTATAATGAAACTAACTGAAACTACAGTAACGAAGCATTATTAGTAAGGAGCTAACATACTCATAAAAAGGACGAAACATTTGATTCTTTTACTTTCTGTCCTAAAAATCATGTAGCTTCATGAATAAAACGTTTGACAGGAAGATTGTATAATGATTTTTTTTTTTTTTTTTTGTTAACAACGTAGGTTTTTTGTTGTCAAATAAAAAAAAAAACTACGGAAAAGATCTGAAGTACTTATTTCGATAGTAGAAAGCTCAAGAAAAACAAAATTTTTAAGAAATCTTTGATTTAATGAGCAAGATAGTAAGGATCATAATGTGTTCTAAATATTTGTCATTTGATCATCTATAATTGCTTATTACTTAACATTTTTGAGGCTATGACTGCAGACATAATGTTAATGGATCAAAATAGGTGTTTTTAAAACTTTTATTAGTTTGATGCTGATAACGAATCTATACTTAGTTTTGATAGAGCACATCATTAATTCTTTCAAAGCGAAAAAAACTTTTAAATGAAGCAGTTTCAGGTAGTTTTGATCGTTATTTAGATATAAATTTCATTGTCAAATCAACAATTTGAAAAAATTCTTGTTTTTCTGAGCTTTCTAATTTCAAAATGATTACCCCAGATCTTTTTTGTCCTTTTCATTTTTATGTTCCGACAGACAAACTGTGTTTTCATAAAAAATAATCATGAAACTATTTTCCTGCCAAAATTTTGATTCTTACCGCAGGACGTGATTCTTAAGGCAGGAACAAAAAAATTGAATAATTTGATATTTTTTATGATTGTGTTGGCTCTTTCCTATTAATGTTTTGTTACTGTAGTTTCAGTTAGTTTTATTATTAGTTTATATTATAACAAATGATGACTTTTGTTTCATAGTCAGTATTTTTTGAGATTATATCTGCAAATATGGACTAAAAAATATTGAGTAACATTTTAATAATCAGAATTTAACAACACACATCAAAAAATACACTGAGACTATTACGTATTTATATAGTCTGTTGTAAATTTTAACGACAAATCAAATTTTTTTTTCTGGTGTTTTCTAACCTTAAAAATTTTTTTTTAAATCTTTTAGATACTTTTTTATACGCTAGACCTCATGATACGTATGTTCGTAAGAAAATAAGCACGACACCGATTTACTTTTGAAAGTTTCAATTACGAATATATATGTTGCTTGGCATAGATACCAATAAAATTAAATACTTCGATATTTTTTAAGGTTATGTTGTCTATTAACTGTTATCTATAATGAATTGTAGCGAATGATAGTTTTAACTTTAGTTTTAATTTTTACAAATATTGTCTAGTCAGTATTACAATCTGCTATGAGACTTCATCGACAAAAACAGCATAGATCGGTATTGATTAAGGTTATGTCTGTGAGTATGGACTTAAAATCTTCAAGTTGGATTAAAATAATTATCATTAAAAGACACATTATTAAAAGCTCACTGCAGATCCTATTGAGTATATGCATACAACATACACTCAAGGGCCAAGGCACTTTATATCTGTCGGAACAGTATGTCTACACACGTACAATGATGTCCTGTAACCTATAATATAACAAAGACTTACTGTCACTTTACAGGTAATATTTTTTATCGTTCTAACAAATATAGTGCATTAAGTGTACAATCATGATCTTACGAAATATACGTGAGCGTGTATTGGAGCAGTTAGAGTTTGGAGTAGCGTATTTTATAAAACGACATAAAATAATTATGAAAAGTTGTTAAGCTTGTAAAAATAGTTTTGTCTGTTCTTAGAACAGTCTTTCTACGTTGCAAGGATTGGGACGGAAGAAAAGTGGCTAGAGATAGTAATGAACATTTTAATGCAGCTGAAATTAATTAATAACTGAATTAACTTACAATAATTAATGCAATTAAGTATTTTAATCCATACACTATTTAAGTAAGAAAAAAAAATTACTTTAGTTTAGCAGTGCAATAATTGTTTACTTTTTAATGCCTTTTCAGAGTTATATTTCCTGCATTAATTTCTTTATGTTGGCTCCCAACCTATATCCAAGCTAGCCTCGCGTTTCATCGATACATAAGACACTATACAAAAGCAAAATTTGTGCCAACGTAGGTTACCTCCTAATTTGTGACAACGTAGGTATTTAGTTATTCCGAAGATATACGTTACAACTATTTTGGTATACTGTATCTTCTTCATACGAATAGCGTACAGCTATTGAGTGTTGCAAGAACTTCATTTCCATAATTAAATCTTATGATTGTCGTCAGTAATACCATTATAAAGACAAATGAACGTCGACACAAATATAAATGTAGATGATACATAGCGTGTCGCAGATAAATACTACTAAGTAAACAGAACAGGTGATAACTACTGGCTGTAATGGCTTCACTGGGACTTAGAGACAACTAGATAGTTTATTAATAGTATTCACAAGAACATTGATTTTACAATGAAATTGGAATCAAATAACAGTATAAACTTTTTAGACTTATTGATAAAAAATATTAATAAGATGTTCGAATTAGGTATATATTATAAACCATCTGACGCAGACACTATGATCCATAACTCTTCCCTTTACCCATACTCTGAAATAATAACTGCCTTTCAATATTACGTGCATAGACTTTTAAACGTTTCTGTTTCACACACCGAATATGAGAAAGAATTGGATAGTGTTAAACAACTGGCCATTAATAATAAATATGACCCAAGCGTTGTAGATAATTTAATTGAGAAAATCTGTTACAATTAAGTTATTAAAAGTATTTCCCTTGTCTGCCAAAGACATCGATAAATATTACATTACGACAAATATTGGCCTACTTTCTGAAGTTTTTTGTAAGTATTTAAAAAAACTCAAAGTTAAAGTTGCGTTTAAAGCCAACAATACTTTACAAAAAATGATAAAAAATAAAAAAACTAAAGTTAGCAAAAAAAAACTGTCTGGTGTCTACAGTTCAGAATGTAGCTCCGATGAGTGCTCCTAATTATACATTGAAAAACAAATCGACAATTTATGTCTCGTATAAGTAAACATCAAAAAGCATATGATAAACGTTTAGATACGTCAAACTATGTGAATCATCTAATTGAATAAGGTTATAGTTTTAATCTAAATTTCAAAGTACTTCATATATGTGGTAAAAGGAAGAAAAGATCTTTTAGAAACCATAGAAATAAATTATTTAAGATTCAGTAATAATGTATTAAACTGTTAAATTGATTTGAATAATTCGCCATTTTTAAATTTTAATGTTAGCTGTTCTGAAAGTCGCACATTCAATTTTCGGACACTGCTCGGTAGTTATCACCTGTTTTGTTTACTTTGTAGTATTTATCTGCTACGCCCTATGTATTACCTATATTTATATTTGTGTGGACGTGTATTTGTCTTTATAATGGTGTCACTGATGACAATCATAAGATTTTGTTGTTTAAATCAAGTTTTTGCAACACTCAGTAGCTGTGCGCTATTCGTTTGAAGAAGCAGCTGTAATGTATTCCTTTGGAATAAATAAATAGATATGAAAATCAACTGAAACTAAATTTCTTTGTTTTAATTATGACCTTTTTTTATTTCGATTTGAAATTACACTTTGTTCTTGTAATCAGTAAAAAAATTTCTTTTTTCATTTTTAATTGTTCCAATTTCTTCTAGGTTAAAGACCATTAAGGTTAACACGTAAAAGAAAATGTGTAATATAGGAAAGTTTTTTTTTTAATGAGATCTACAAACTTTTCTATCTAGAAAAAAAAAGCTAATTGAGCTGTCTGTAGTAGGTGAAATTTTTTTAATTTTGTTAATTAATCTGTAAAACCAATTTTTTGATGATGATGATGATGATGATGATGATGATGATGATGATGATGATGATGATGATGATGATGATGATGATGATGATGATGATGATGATGATGATGATGATGATGATGATGATGATGATGATGATGATGATGATGATGATGATGATGATGATGATGATGATGATGATGATGATGATGATGGTATGAGTACTGATTGCTTAATAATATACAAATAAATTAATCGAATGTTGACATATTAGTGTTCATTTTATTTGTAAATTTTATGTTTATTATCGATAAAAATGTTTTGCTAATAAATCGAAATATAAATTGATGAATACCTGCTGATTTGGATAATTTGATAAGTCACATATACAGTATTCCTTGTAAAATTGATCCATAACAGATCTTCTGGTCTCATTTAGCAAAAAATTCGTTGTTAAATTATCTTTACTAGAAAACATATCTTTTAACGCATTTCATCTACTGCATCTGTAAAGTAAAATTACCATTGGATGGGAATGTAAATGAATGTGAACTAATTTTAAGCTACATGAATGTATATGTCATTAAGCACCCCTAAAAATGATACACCTATATTTTACTAGATGATTTTAAGTGTATATGTATTTCTGGTTGTATTCTTAATTTAGTGGTTTTGTAAATTCTTCATAGTGAATTTCATAAAAAGTCACTTTTTCACATAGTGCTGTTATAACCTCAAATATTTTTGACGTGTGACATTTGGAGAGAACAAACATGTTATTATTGATACCATTTTTAAGAATGATAGCATAATGAAATAACAACTTAAATATTTATAAAATATACAAATATTAAAAAATTAATCTAATTTATCAATGAGAAAGTACTAAAGCAAGTTATTTATTATCTTACAGACATTTTCTATCCAAGACAAGTTTTGCTTAGGCGATTCATTGTTCAGTTAAAACTGTTAACATATTGCGATAATTAAAAGCTTTAAAATTTTGTTTTGTACTGTAACGGGGTGCCAAGTATCCGCTTACGGCTCTGATAGCCACGAATTTATGCAAGGAGTACTCTGACCGGGACTGTGCTTCCCGGGTACCCACGGAGACACACTCACGTTACAACGCGGACAGTGAGTCTGCTTTTCCTTGTTCTCGTCTGCTTGCTGAGGGGCCAGCTCAGCCCTGGCTTAACTCAGGATGCTCAAGCGTCGATGTTTACGCGTGAGCCCGCGGAAGCGGCTGGATAAGGTTGGTACTCGGCTTACATATCCCTTTCGGAGGTCGCGATCTCTAAACAAAGCTTGTAAATGAGGAGTAGCCGGAAGGGCTCCATGCAAGGAGGGGTTTACGCAAAGCAAGACACAAACATTTAGTAATCATACGAATGTAGACTATATTAATTGCACTTGTACATAAGCATCTGGGTGTGTATGTGTTTATCGTTTGATCGCGCTAATTACAGGGCACGCCCGGCCAAGAAAAGGCTTTCCTCTCGGAGCCGACGGCACGCAATAATTCGATCAGGCGCGGAGAGAGATTACGCAGCTACCACGGCTTTCACGCACGCACTGCGCTTACTTGGCTTTTCGTAGCCTCTTATTTACGCTCGTTCGCCAAGTAGATGATCCCTCAGCAGAACCACTCAAGCTTACGGCGAGGCTGTCCCTTGGTGACGCGGTGTGATTTTCGAGCAAGAGACGCGCGTGTTTACCCTACCTATACCTAATCTCTTCTGACCTAATGGCCAAGAGCATCCCGCGCTAATACGCATTGCAAGACGCTTGTCTCTCCTTCCTCTCTCTCTCTCTTGCACACGTCATGACGACCCCCTTCTCTTTCCGGCCTTTCTTCGTCGCGCAGTCTAGGTGAGCGTAAACGGCGTTACGGTGTTAGTCGCCCGTTACAGTACCATAACAGCAGTTATGCATAAAAATTTAAGTTTTATAACTCCATAAGATAATTACTATGGTTTTTTTTAATTTGAAAAATAAAAATTTCTTACTTTTTAAGTAATAAAATTTTTACTTGTTTCTTAAAATATATTAAGTTTTTTGATCATGAAACAACTTTGTTATGTATTTTAAGTCATTTTTATAAAATGTATGTATTTTTTATTATTTATTGCTAATTTTTTTTTTTACAATTAAAATGATGAAAAATCATCCATTTAACTAGTCATATCGTACAATCCTGTTACCAAAGAGGGGGGGGGTAGTCGTGAATCGCCTAAATCTGCTTCAAACCTATGAGCGAAATTTGTTGCACAGTTTGGTAGCTTTTAGTCCCTTAATTCATCACCAAAGTGATTCCTCTTAAAACACGATTCAACGTCTAAAATAAGGTGATCTTTGTTCCGTTTACATAGCATTAGAAATGCAGTTTTTCTCTTATGTTTCCAAAAAATTCGGGGTGATTTTTAATAAAACTATGTCTAATAGGTACGTAACACAAATATTTTGGGACTCATAAAAAAAAGCTATGGACAAGTACGTCGGGTCAGCGGTCCATTGTAAGAAGAAAGAGAAGAGAGTCATCGTGAGAAACGCTAAAGTCACTGAGTAGGCTATCTAAAGAAACAATGTTTTAAGGGTGAGTGAAGTTAAATGTAGACCCACGCTGCGCAGAGTACATTTACTTATTAACTAGAAAAAGCAGTTAACACATAGTGCTGCTCAGTGCTGCTTGAAAAAATTGCAGCCTTTGAAGCAGCACTAAAAAACAAGTTCCGGTTCTAAGGCACCCTAAGTAACAATGACCTCCCTGGTGGCTCCACCCTGAAGTAATGATAACACGGATCTGGGGTGAATGTAAAGCCATGTGCCATGGGGGGGGGGGGGTTAGAGGGTATTGATGGTGTGATAAAAAAATCAACAGATTCCAACATTACAACTGATCCTGCGATGTTCATAAACACATTTCTCTTCCCTCCACATAAAAAAAAATAATGATAATATTACTGATAACTAACTTACATCCATCACTGTTTGATACTGCAGCTTCGGAGTTCTCTAGTACTTCGTGCAGTCTTTCTCATCGGACCCTTTAACCACGCAAGTGAATTCGTGGCCAAAAAAGAACTAGATGCGGTTTTTTCTGTCTCTGCTGTTGCCGAAACCACTTCCAGCGGGCCTCTTTTAAGTTTACTCGCTCCATAGCATAGTTCAAGAATGTTGATATCCGTAAAATACACCTGAGTTTTCTAAGCCAACACAATATGCCTGATGTGCATTATGTACTCACGGGACGCAGGAGTTATGAGTTGACTTAAACTTTAGGGGACCATTTATAGACGTAAAAGCGCCATTTTTATTTTTAATAGAGTGTTAATATAGCATTAAAGCAAGTTAAAGAGGCCTCTGATTTAATCAGGTCAACCAATGACCGATTTCTCGCAAAACTGCGTTGACAGCAAAAACAGTAGATTGGAACGATGATGGTTTATGTTATTATTTTTATACGTTAGAAAATAACAATACAACAATACCAATTGCATTTTTTTGATGAGATTTAGATTGTGGATTAGTAATGGTGAAATCTCGCAATGGCAATGAAAGAAACACCAAATACATGTTCAAGTGTGCCTCATAAGTTTACCAGTTTTGCAATGAGTTTTTTTTTAATTTTACAAATTAATTTTGAAAATATTTAAACAATGTGTTAATAACAGTCATAAAGGCGTTGTACATTATTGGAATTGGACAACTACATTGAAAAAAAATCTATTCATGTACTCTTAGAATACAATATATTTGTACGTAGAAACATATAAAGTTCATACATGTATTCTAATAACGAGTCTGGCTGCATTACATGTCAGCACAATATGACTTTAATAACTTTAGACTTTGAGTAGGAATGCTGTTATACTTATGTATACAGTTATAACATTAACAAGTCCTTGGATGTAGAAGCGAATGTGTAGGAGAAAGATGCACCTTTAAGTTAACACACACCCACACACGCGCGCTCGTGCGCACAAATATGTTACTTTATATAGTGATGTAGATAGGGCTTACCCTAAGTGTCTAACTACTAAACTAGGTCGCACTTACTCGAGCTCTGAGACGTCTCTATCAACCTCAGACTCTGAAAAAAGGTGTTGTGTCAGTGAATCCTCCGCCTCAGCCCTTTTGTCTGCTGCAATGGCTAACCAAGTTACTCTTATTGATTTAAAACAGCTGATCCAGGATTTAACTAGTTCCTTGCATCGAAGAATAACAACACTAGACACGAAGCTTGACTTCACGAATAACGCCTGTCACGACAGATGGAGGCGATAGACAAGCGTCGCCAGAGTCTGAAAACTCTCTTATCATCTGTTCAGTAAGTAGACAGATGGCTGCAATAAGTAGAGTGTTCAGCTTTATCTACGCAGAACTTAGAAGCACTGGCTGATAAGATAACAACCTTAAAAGATAAGCTTAATTCCATAGGCTCCTCGATGGACTACTTAATCACGAAACTCCAAAATAAGCTTCAAAGATCAACTTATAAAGTCCTGTATAATGTCATTAAATCAGTCACTGATTTTAGCACCAATGAGGTTGTGGTGAAAGAGACCCTCACGAAGGTTGGTACAACATCAGTTCAGCGGGTAATCCGACTAGGAAGAATCTACACAAGGAAGAATAAGACCTTTACTGGTCACACTAGGAAGAATAAAATACATCAACGGTGTACCTAAAATTATCGATGATACTACTCTACAGTCGTTTCGTGTATAAACAATTATATTTAAGCACGGGTAAACTATAAATACTATACCAAATGTACGTTAACCTATCAACAAGCTTACAACACTGGAAACCACACTACCAACACTCATCAAGATCCCAAGTATCATAATATTTACCGAGACTTGGCTTGAACCACATACCAAAAACAGCGAATTACCATTAGGAGAGCATGTGATCTACAGGCAGGACAGGCAGGTGGTGAACGAATCAACCAAGTGTAGAGGTTAGGTCCTGGTGGTGGTCAGCAAGTGTCTGTCTTTAACTCGTGTTACCATTAAGCAAACTCTGGAATGTGTGGTGGTGCGGATTAAGCAGTCAGAAACTGATTATATCTTGATAGCCGTTTACTTACCACCAACAGTCACAGCAGCAGCTTTCGTTGAGTTTGATACTCTAATTGAACGGCTACACACCAAATACATTTTTTGTAAATTTCTAATATGCAGAGATTTCAACGCGACCAACCTCACAAGGTTAAACTATCCTCTGCAATTTCAGACCTTGGACTACATCACACCGGATCGTCGTGGTCGCCTAGCTGCCTCTACTCTGTTGCGCACCACCTCCGCCGTGGATTTCCGGCAAATGCTCGAACCAACGTTGGACAAACTTTATACACTGGATCTGCTCTTCGCCCCAGAAAACTCTGTTGAGGTCATTGACTTACCAGAAGCAATTCTCGAAACAGACCACCACCACACGCATAGTGCCTTTCACATCAGTGGCTATGGTACATGTGACACTAATAAACAGAGCACGACAT